CAGGGGCGGTGCTTCCTGCTCCGAGGGGAGGCCAGGCAGTGGAGGCGGCAGCGGCGCTGCTTCTGGACTCCGCTCTGCCTCTGCGGCAGACGGGAGATCTGAACCTAGGGCCGCTGGACAGGGGGAGGGGGCGTGTCAACTTCTCAGCTAGGGTGGTCTTGTGGCCACCGCTGGCCCCCTTACGCATGCGCATGCGTGCTGGGATCTTTTCAACCCACCAGCTCCCACCTGAACCACGCCCACAATCCGAACCTCCCTCTCCCACGTCTCCGCGCCAGAGATACCCCCAGGTTCCCCTCCAGGGCTGGTTCCCTGCACCCCCAGCTTGAAGTGCCTGCATACCTGGGCTCAGGGAGCCGGTGGGCACTCCTGGAGTTGGAGCATCACTGCCATTCGGAGTTGCCACAGCGACCACGGGGAGGATCTCGATGGAGACAGCATCCCCCGGCCCCCGCAGGATACGGATTAACCCCTTCTCCTCCATCTCCTCTACCTTCAGCTCTAGGGCTGAGGGCCGTGCCGAGGCGGCGGGAGGCACTTTCTCGGGCTCGGGGGGACGCCTGGAGGCGCCCATGGCGGTGGACTCGCTGAAGCGCTCCTAAGAGCCCCAAGGGGAAGGGTCAGTATTCACCCGCCGGCTCCCAGGCACAGAGCCCCTGCCGTTTTCCCGGGTTGAAGGGAGATGCCTAACCTAGAAGCCCGGGCTAGTCTGTTCTCAGGCACCCGCCCAACCCCGGCCCGGCCCACGCCCCAGCCTCACCCGCAGGGTCTCCAACTCTTTGCGGGCCTGACTTAGCTGCTTTTCCAGCTCTGCAATCTTGGCCATGGAGTCGTTCTCCGCGTCCCGAAGCCGCTCTGTCAGCTGTGGGACCCGCACATGGTAAGCTACCCACCGCGGCCAAGCCCGGGCACCGCCAGTGAGGGGGTGGCATCAGGCATGCCTGCCTGGAGGACTGGGGGAGGCTCCCACATCCGCTCAGCCCAGTGAGTCGCGGGTGGGCCGAGCCTGGCGCTCGAACCCAAGGCAATGAGGAGGGGAAACTAAGGCATGACTGATGAGGGAGGTGGGTGGAGAGGAAGAGACTGAGCTGGAGGGGCCCCAGGCACTCAATTCACCCACATCAGGGCAGAGGCGTGAGCATGGGGAGGGAGGGGCCTGCCCTCCTTATAGGTTCAGCTCAGCGAGGTGCTCTCTGAATGCTCCTTGAGGAAGCACCCAGAGAACTCAGGATTTGGGTGCAGGTCAGACACAAGGGCCAGGCAGACTGCCACCTCCAATCCACATCCCAAACAGTGCCTGTGGCCCAGCGCCTAATGCCAGCATGGGACCCTGTGACAGACGGGTCCTGTGGGTCACTGTGCTGGGCTGGGCTCAGGACCCGCTCTCACCAGGGAAACCTGCTCCTGGAGCTCATCCATGTGCTCCAGCACCGCGTTCTTGGTCTCCGTGTCCTCCAGCAGCGAGCCCACATCAAAAACGTTGTCCAGGTACGCCTGAATTTGCACCTGCAGCTTGTCACTCTCGGTGAGCCGAAGCCTCTGTCCCCCAGATGGAAGGTGTAGGGTGAGGCCGGTGTGCGGGGGTCTTTCCAACCCTCACCACCATGGGGGCCCAGAAGAAGGGGCCTAAGCCCTAGCTTGCTTTTTTTGTTTCTTTATTTATTGAGATATAATTCATATATCAAAATTCACTATGGTAAAGTATACAGTTCAGTCATTTTTAGTACATTCACAAGGTTATGTAACCAACACCACTAATTCCAGAACATTTTCATCACCCCCCAAAAAAACCCTGTATCCGGTAGCAGCCACTCCCTATCCTCTCCTCCCCCAGCCCCTGGCAACCAGGAGCCTACTTTCTGTCTCTGAGAACTTGCCCATTCTGAACACTGCACATAGAGGAATCGTGTAGTATCTGGCCTTTTGTGTCTGGCTGCTTTTACGTGGCATGATGTTTTGAGGCTCCTTGTGTATCCATGCTAAAACCTGTATCATTTTTTCTGCTTACGGCTGGGTACTATTCCATTGTGGAACTATACCACCCCAGCCTGCTCTTTTTCTTCTCTTTTTTTCTTTTTTTGGAGTGGTTTTTGCTATAGGGCGCGTGCGCTTGCCAGACAGACAGAGACAGAGAGACAGAAAGCGAGAAATCACTGCCCAGGGGGGATGACTACACCTCAATCCCTTCTCCTCCATTCTCCTCTCGGGATCTTGGGCACACACGCACACGCGCCTGGCATGAGATTAAGCCACCGGGTCCGGGACTCAAACCGGATCGACTATGTGGGAGTCCAGCAACATATCCATTATGCTAACTGCTGGTCCCTCCAGCCTGCTCTTCACCTTTTGTTAGTTCTCACTTTCAAAAATCCAATCCCAAAGGCCCCACTCCTCCAGAAAATTTCCTGGAGGAATCAGGGAAGATGCTGCAGCTTTCTGCTCAGGCTGGACCAGGAAGCACCAAGCTCTGAGGTCCACCTTCCCGTGTCCTGGCCCCATCGGGCAGGAGCCATCTCCCATTATATGCTGAGTCAGAGCCAGTCCCAAGGCCACCTTGAGGCTGTCCTGCTTGCAGCAACAGCTCCATGGACTGGGTGCCTGTCATGCACCAGGCACGGTCATCATTCTCTGTGATTCTATTTCACAGATGGGTAAACTGAGACTCAGAAAGAGAAAGAGACTTATTCAAGGTCACATGCCTAGGAAATGGCAGAGCCAGGATTTGAACCCAGGCCTGCCTGACCCCATACCCATGCTGTTAACCACTCAGCCAGAGTCTACAGTGAGTGAGTGATTAAGTCTGGGGAGAGTACAGGGCTCACCTCTAAGTACAGGTCCAGGCCCAGGTGGGTGAACTCATATTGTAGGAAGACCCGGAAGTTCATGTTCTCCACCGAGTGGACCACAATGTTGATGAACTGCATGCAGGCCACCTGGGAACCGGGGACAGGATTGGGTTTATGACCTTGAGGTGCCCTCTACCCCTATTCACCCCAAGTCCTCCTCCCTCTCCACAGTTCTCACTCCACTAACCCAGCTATGTCCCTACCTGTGTTCACCTCTGTGTCCCAGAACCTCTGCAGCTTGAGCCATCCCCCATCCTTCTGCCCTCGCCCAATACCCACGCTTTGCTGGGGCAGAACCCAGACACTCAGGCCCCGAGTCCTGAGCTCACCATGAAGTCGATATTGCTGTCCTCATTCCGGAAATATTCCATCAGCTTTTCAAAGCGGTGCTGCTCCCCACACACCTGGAGAGGGAGAGGCTCTCACTGAGGACCCAGAGACACAGCTCCTAAACCATCTTTCGGCCGCCCCCACCTCAGTGCCTCTGCGGCTCCTCTCAAGTTAAATCTGAGTAAGGCCAAGTTGCTCCTCTGCTTCAAATCCTTCTCAGTCTCTTCCACAGCACCCTCTCCCATGCCCCCCACTCCACCCCAGCTACATTGGAGACCAGACACACTCCCACGTTGGGGCCTTCGCACGTGCTGTTCCGACCATCTGGCATGGTCTTACTCAAGTGAGTCCCTCACTTTCCTCAGAGCTTTGCTCAGATCTCACCTGCTCAATGAGACCTTCCCTGCCTGCCCTGTAACCACTGCGGCTCCCCCTGCAACCTCCCTCTTCCCCCAGCATTGATCATTTTCTAACTTTCTAACAGGTTATGTATTATGCTGTTTACCATCTGTCTTCCCCTCCCTTCCATGTTTCTTCTGGTTGCTGATCTATCTCAAATGCCTAGTCCCACGCCGGGCATGTAGTAGGCACTCGCCAGTCACTAGAGGGGTGGATAAGTTTATCCTGTGGGCCCCATGCATCCACTTCTTGCAAGCCTGGTAACCAATCAGCACTCCAGGGTGTAGGCATCCAGTCCAGTCTGGAGCTCGCAAAGCTGTGAGTCACAGATGCAGCAGAGCCCTAAACCTATTCCTGTCACCACCAAGCAGTGTCCCTGTCACTCCAGGCAGTAATGATTCTTCACCTTTCCTTTAGAACTTCCCAACCTAGTTTGGCCTCTGAGTTCCCCAGATTCCCACCCTGTGTCCCCAGCTACCCACAGCAGAGGCCACGACCACCACCAACAGGACTCCATGGAGGTGAGTATGTTTGGGGAGGGGGCTCCAGTACCTCCTTGAAGTTGTCAAAGGCTGCAAGGATGATGTCATGTCCTCCCCGTACCAGGCACACAGCCGCCAGCAGTTCCAAAACCAGAGCCTTGGTTCTGGGTGAAGAAGAAGATTGTCCCCTGAGATCAGGCAGGCCCCAAAGCAAACATGGGCTAGGGCCTACTAGGAGGAGGAGAGGAGAGATGATTTGGGGGTAGAATGAACCTGAGATTTGGGGGACAGAGTAGGTAAAGGCTTAAGTAGGAGAAGGGTCTAGATGTGGAGAAAGGTTAGGGTTGTAGACCTCACCTTGGGTTCTTGTTATTGAGACTCAGAGCAATCTCATTGACACAGGCTGGGTGGTTCATGACGAGGCTGAAGCCAGACTGCAGAGAGAAGAGAGGTCAGCACCTCCAGGCAGGCCTCCAGGGTTGTCAGCACCCTCCTGCCCAGCACCTCTAGCATGCTCAGTGCCATGCCATTCTAGTCTCTAACTGGCCCAAAGCTCAGAGTTCTTTATATCCAACTAGTCTCTTCTGCAGCTCTCAAAGCCTGGCCCTGGCCCTCTTTTTCAAAGCTAGTGTCAGGCTCCTTTGACATGGTGAGCCCATGAAGGCTGCTGAGTGAGGGAGAACCTACCTGCACCCAGCAGTCCTCCAAACAAAATAACCTAGAGGTTGCTTTCCCCATGGGCCTCACTGGCCAACCCCCCTTGGTAAATGTGCCTAAGTCCCCGCGGGAGGCACGTGTCCAGGGTACCTGAAGATACAGGCTTCCCTCGAGGCTCAGCAGCCTCAAAACCCTGAGCCAACAGCCCAGATCCCCAGGTTCACAGTGGGGTACAGGAGTGAGAGGGACAGCTGGTCCCTGAACCTCAGCGGCTTGCGCCGTCCTCTCCCCATGCCCACCAGCCAACCTGGTAGTTCATGATGGCGCGCAAGCACATGATGCAGACATGGACGTCGTCCTTCTGGCTGACAATGCGGGAATTCCGCAGGGCCTTTCTGCTGTGGGCTGGGGTAAGCCTGGTGGGTGTGGAGGAGGCAGCAGGGGTCAGAGTCCCAGCCTCAGCTTCCCATTCCCACCACGCAGATGGTCTCTGGAGTAAGAGGGGGACACCTCCGAACCTCAGGCCACTGCTGCCTGCCTGCCTGCCTAACCAGAGAGCCAGCCAAGGGCAGCTGCAGCTTCTTCAGTCCTTGGGCCTGGGCTCTGGCATGGGAGGTGTTGGGGAGTGGGGGAAGCAAAAACCCTTAACCATGGGACCAGCACGTGGCATGGTCACCCACATGGCTGACCATGGTTCGAGTCCTGGACCTGGCAGCTTTCTTTCTCACTCTTTCTCTCTCTCTGTCTCTCTCTGGTCAAATTAAAATAAATGAATAAATAAATAAAATTAAATAAATAATTATATATATTTTTTTAAAAAGACCTTTAACCATGATTTAGCATTGAAGAAGGTTACTGTGGACCAGCGAGTGGCCTGAAGGTGAAGGAGCTGGATCCCACATGGCCGACTGCACAGTTCAAGTCCCAGACCTGTCGGCTTGAAAAATGCAGGGGACATGCGTGCATGCCCAAGATCCCAAGAGGAGAATGGAGGAGAAGGGATTGTGGCGTGATCATCTCCCCGGGGGATGATTTCTCGTTTTCTGTCTCTCTGTCTCTGTGTCTGTCTGGCAAGCGCACACACCCTTTAGCAAAAAAAAAACCTCTCCAAAAAAAAAAAAAATTTTTTGGACAGCAA